CATATACTCACATCTGTCCCAACGATTTGGGGGTTACCAGAGTTGAAAGGCATATGTAAGAGATTATTTGATGTTTACATGCTGTAGCATTTCTCTGCACCTTTCTCCAATGCTTATGACGTGCAGTAAGGTTATGGACAGCACAGACTGTTTACCTCATGGCAGTTTGCATGGAAATGTCTATACAGAAATTGTACCCGTTTAGCTTTACTAGGATTATAATTTTTATTTGGTTGGTAACGCTTTAGTATCTATGCATATTATGGCCAATATACCAATACAGAAGGGCTCTGGAGCTGCACTGCTATAAGGCTTCTTTCATATCCCTATCATTACACCCGTTTCTCTAATGAGCAAAACCAGCCCTTCACGAAACAGACTGATCTTTGACAGTTTTATGGAAGTAGGAGGCCTTTGTGTGCATTTCTGGTGTTTGCTCTTGGCGCTCTAGTGCCGTGATCTTGGATCACCACCTGCTGTCTGCTGAAAGAATTCATCCTACATCGCATTTGCTGAACCACGTTGCTCCTCGTTGAGACGCCATCCCCAGCTCCCACCCTTCTGCAAGGTGCCGCTATGTGCGGTTACTTACCATTCCTCCACTTACCTTGGAGCTATGGCGTTTGTTAATTAAGTTAAAGCTGTGTAAACTCTTAGAAATGTGTCCCCATTAGGGAATTTTCACTAGTTTAGCTAATAGTTTTTTAAACAAAGTGTAGGATGGGTTTGTACTGAGCTGTATAGGCAAAAACCTGACCTAAGGAAGGAAGTTGGCACCTGCAAGGACACAGCGGGACCTTTGTAGGGCTGAGAACAGAGGCCTGAAAGGGGACCCCACACAGGTATCCCATACCCCTCTTGTGCCCTGACCGCTTGGGTGCTGATGCATCAGATGTCAGCATTTTGCAAGAGGGGAGCTGCTTTGAATTCCTACCTGATGGGGATGAGCGATTTCTGTAGGAGCAGAGCAATAGAATTAATAGAAAACACAGAAATTGCTGGTTTTCTTTGAACTATAGGTTACTGTATATTGTACTGAAGTTTCTTCCATTTTTTTATGGAGTGTGTGTTAATTACACTGAGTTCCAGTTGCACTGAACAGCCTTTCCCAGTTCGGTGAGCATGGGGTGACAGCTAGCATGGGTCGATGTATGGCAGCACAAACTCATGGAGGGAGTCGGTTAACCTGGAAGTGCCGAAACTATTCCTGCAGCCAAATGTCCCTCAAGCTCCCCTCCTGGAGACTGCCAGCCACCCTGCATTGTGGCTGAGAGAAATGTCTGTCTGCTCCTGAACGTTAGCTAAGGCTTATTTCATGCCATCACACAAGTTCAAGACAACAATAGTTTTTCTGGGGAGCTGCAGCTGGGCTTTCCTAGTCCTGTGATGGCATCCTTGCTTGTGTTTTAGGATGGTGACTACTCTTGGACATACCCATCTCTGTCTGTTGTTGCATTTGAGTCAATGTTTAAGAGAATTTCATGAGCTAAAACAGGCAGGACTGGCAGTGCAGTGAGGTATGTTGTCAAGATTGGATAGACAAAATCCTTTCAGTTGAGTTGCTCCTCCTATGTACGTACCTTCACCGGGAAGTCTCGGAGTGTCTCCGTGTTCTTTGTACCTCCTGAGGAGTGGGAAAAGCAGTGCCTCTGACTGCAGGATTTTCCCTGGTGGGTTAGAAGTAGGGA